AGCAATGAGGAGCAGCAAGAGGAGCAGCAGGAGGACCAGCAGGAGGTGCGGCAAGAGGAGCAGCAAGAGGAGCAGCAGGAGGACCAGCAGGAGGTGCGGCAAGAGGAGCAGCAAGAGGAGCAGCAAGAGGAGCAGCAATGAGGAGCAGCAAGAGGAGCAGCAGGAGGAGTAGCAAGGAGGAGCTGCAGGAGGAGCAGCAGGAGGAGCAGCAAGAGGAGCAGCAATGAGGAGCAGCAAGAGGAGCAGCAGGAGGAGTAGCAAGGAGGAGCAGCAGGAGGAGTAGCAAGAGGAGCTGCAGGAGGAGCAGCAGGAGGAGCAGCAGGAGGAGCAGCAAGAGGAGCAGCAAGGAGGAGCAGCAAGAGGAGCAGCAAGAGGAACAGCAAGGAGGAGCAGCAAGGAGGAGCAGCAGGAGGAGCAGCAGGAGGAGTAGCAAGGAGGAGCAGCAAGAGGAGCTACAGGAAGAGCAGCAGGAGGAGCTGCAAGAGGAGCAGCAAGAGGAACAGCAAGGAGGAGCAGCAGGAGGAGCAGCAGGAGGAGTAGCAAGGAGGAGCAGCAGGAGGAGCAGCAAGGAGGAGCAGCAGGAGGAGCAGCAGGAGGAGCAGCAAGAGGAGCAGTGAGGGGAAATATAGAGCCAGTTGTAGACAGAAGCTTAAACAGAAAGATGAGTTTCTAGTTTCTAATGTCTGAAATTGGGACAGAGAAATATTGAAAAGTCAGTATTTTCTGGGCCCTGCTTAGGAATGAATGAAAAATGAACCGATGGAAGGTTTTAATTGCATCATTCATTCTGTGCGACTCTTTTTTCCAGTTTTTTTCCAAGTAAATGAATATAAATTCCAACCGCTCACCGTCTATGAACTGCCTCTGCTGCTGAATGATCTCGTCACACAGGTGTCTGTGCTGCTCAAAGCGCTGCACCACAAAGTTCTTCTGCCGGATGACGCTGTCTTTGATCAGAGCGTGGGACTGCATCTCTGCGTTCTCCATCTCCAGCTCGTGGACCTTGCAGAGGAGGCCGAGGACTTCGCGCTGCTCCTCTGAGCTCACCCTGCGAGGAAGCAGCTCCTCGAGGCGTCGGCCGCGATCCCGCAGCTCCAGGAACCTCTGCTCCAATAAACCCTGAAATCACAGATTCTCCTTTTAATTTAATACAAGAATAGATGAAAATGTCTTTTCATTTTGTTTCCAGGAAGCTGACCTTCTGCTTTTGAATCTTCTTCTGTTCGGCCATCAGGAGGACCAGGTTTTCCCGAGCCACTGCTACCTCCCGAGTCTCTGTGCTGTCTGGGGGCGACTCGGAGGAATCCGAGTCCTTCTCACTTTCGTCTTTGTTGACGCTTTCCTTCCTTCTCTCTGCACGCCACTTTCTCCTGCGTTTACTCTGCTCCTGCTCCCAGCTGGGAACAAAGAAAATATGATCTTTAAAAAGAACAATGACTTGGTCTAACACTAGTTATTATCTGATAGTGGATTATTACTGTTATAAGTTAATCAAACAGCAGCAGCTGCACTAATTTCTTTAATTAAACTCGGCCAGAGTCAGAATAATAGGTAAGAAAGTCCAAAGTGAAGCTTTATGATAAAAAAGTGACGTTAGGCTTTAAGCCGTGCGGGGGCTCCATGATCTCATTTACCTTCTCAAATGAAGGATAAATACATTTCATATAAGAAATTTCTACTTATTTCTGGATCGTTTTTGTAGTGTGAGATGATACACTGCAAAAAATTAACATCTAAATAAGTTATTTTTGCTTAAAATAAGTGCATTTTTTTTACACTGGAAAAAACAATCTAGAAATAAGTAGACATCTCTTAAATTAAGTGTTTTTATCCTTAATTTTAGTAAGTAAATGAGATACTTTGCCAGTGGAATGAGTATTTTTACTCTTGAAATAAGATTTGATAACATGCACTTAGAATTGTGTTGTCTTATTTCAAGTGCATTTTATCTAAATATCTAATTCCAAACTGGCAAACTATCTCATTTACCTGCTCAAATGAAGGATAAATACATTTCATTTAAGAAATTTCTACTTATTTCTGGATCGTTTTGCAGTGTGAGATGATACACTGCAAAAAATTAACATCTAAATAAGTTATTTTTGCTTAAAATAAGTGAATTTTTTTTACACTGGAAAAAACAATCAAGAA